CCAGACAAAAAGTATCTTGAATGCCGAATGTACATTTACCCCTCTTTAGTGGAATCTCCAAACTACACTCGAGTATTGTTCGAGGCAGTCACGTGAGCTGCTGACATCACAATGTGGGTTACACGACAACCAGTCAGCGTTATCGATGAGCCTTATCGGTCAAACGGCGATCGGTGCTTGAAGTAGTCACACACTCCTCTGGGTGTACAAATATATCACAATCATTTTAGGCATAGTTGGAACCAGTCCATTTTAATGGTATCTAGGACTGGGGATATCTGGGAAACCAAGATCGTGGTTTGCAGTGACATTTAATGCGTGTGTATCGGTTTTGAGGTGCTGTGAACTGGATTGCCGTTTGGGATGTCGGCAGAAGACCATTGACAAAGTGGTCCGGCTTCTATCGAAAACGGTGAATATTAATCGACTATCTTTAGAGCCACCGCTGCACAATCAATGTTGTTACAGCAAATCAAGTAAAACTCTTATCTGCCACCTGAATCAGTACGATTTGAGCACTAAACGCCAAGTATCGGTTCGCCTTCTTGCCCAACGCCCACAGGTAATGCGATAGGGTTTGTGGCGGAGAATGACCTGGGATGGCGAATTCAGGTTTACTTTGAAATTCCATAATGGAATCATTCATGTATGACTGTCACATAAAATTGCGTGCATGACAGTGTAACTGTCCCGTTGCACATGATTGATAAATGGTGCTTTCGTTCAGGTGTTCCAAGAGGGGTGTTTTGCATAACTTCAGGAGTGAACTTGTGATCCTGTCGAGATGTTTTACCGAGGTTGGCTTACTCGCGATTCTGAATGACCATCCGTCTCCTCAGTTGTTCAACATGCAAATACGAATCATGAAGGGTAATAGTACCAGGATACCTCACACTCGGAGTGCACAGAAGTCTGAATTACGTTGAGGAATCGTATCTATCCTTTGATCAGACTGCTTGATGGATCTCAGTTCGGTTGAGAATATCCGGAACTTCATAGGTAGATTAATAACAAACTAAGATAGTTCAAACTCAAGGACCTTAACGAGGCTGTTAAAAAACTAGTGAGTAGTGCCAAAGAAGCACATCCAGTAAGTCATCTCCAGTGTGATTGTTAATGCTGATCAGGTCATTAACCACGGAGCTTATAACACCCGTTACTGATCAATATGTGTTGTTTAACCTGAACGTAAAGGTGCGTGGTTAACGGTTGTAAAAAGTTACTGAAACTGAAACTTATCGTGATTAAGTACCGAGAAGTTTCGGGTATTGCAACTCAGTGCGACATCTCGTTGCTTTTGGAGTCGATTTTGTGCTTGAGGGTCGGATAAACTGTTGTCTATATGTGTAATAATGACAAATCTACCCAGACTATATACGTGAATGGCTAGGAAACGTATTGCGCATGCATGGCCGTGGTCTAGCGCATCACGCCTTGCTCCCACTTACTGCTCCGAGTCGGAGGAAATTACGTGTTAACGCGAAGATGTATGAATAAACTCAGAGCGATTAGCCGGAATATGTGTCTCTCGCATTCTCGATCGGGGTCCTAAAGACTCCGTAATTGGTTGGCAGCGAGCAGCAATAGTGTTATTGTCGTCATTTCTTACCCGACTAGATTGTTTTAAAAGGTTTGAATGCATGGTAGGGGTGTGCACCCAGAGTATTGATCACAGAGGTTCACTTGGTTTGCTATCCCTCAAATTAGACCATATCCCTGTGCACCCTACATATTTCCACTTAGTTAGTTGCCTACATCGTGTGCCTGGTAGCGAAGAAGTTCACGTCATTGCATTTCGCTGTGCGGTAAAGACGAGAATACATGCTTTGAACCCCGTCGCCGCTAGCACTGCCGACTTCTCCATCCCTGGTTCTCGGTCTGACAGCATTGAGTTGATTTGATTGTACTTCCTGGAAATAAAATAAGCCATTGTATAGTCACGACCTAAAAGACGACAGAAATGATTATTAAATAAAATGCCAACGTTCTCGCTGAGTATCCAGCTTTCCCATTGACGCGGAAGTGCATAGTTGGTCTAGGTAAAGAAGACCAAACTATAACTTTTTCCATATACAACCTGGACTAGGTTGGGACGTTTTTCACGCCGAGAGTGCGTCGTCATTCTTTCTGACCCAACAGTCTTGGCAGTTCTGTTGTCCATCGCTTGCTGTTTATGCAATCGTCTTTCTAATTACGGGAACCAGTTCTTGTTTTTAGCCTACCTGGTCATTACTGTTCACATTTCAGTATCATTCCTGACTGAGCTTTGTGTGCAGATATATGCGCATCTGTATGTGAGTGTCTGTGTGATGACCATGATAGTCAGTCGTAGGCAATTATATCCTGTAGACCCGGAATTGATTGCGCCATTTTCGTTTCGTTTTCTACTCGCGCATCAAGTCTTATCTTTCGGAAACCACCGTTTTCCGGGTATTCATCCTCACCCCATATAAGCCATGAACCACTCACTTTATGGTTGCCGTCCTGCTCCTGCTCATTGTCATTAAGTATTGGTATCGTTCAATCTCTCCAAAATTGGGCGTTTATTTCCCATTCCGTCAGTTCGTCCTCGCAACCGCCCATACTGCTTTGCGTCCCCTTCACCTTGGTCCGATTGCTACTGAATTATGCGGGTTGTGTATGCAAAGCCCCAACACAGACACGCCCTGCACTCAAACCGATTTGTGTCTATACGCGTTGCTCCATACTTACGTGCGTGCGTGCGTGTGTGTGTGTTAGTATGCACCTATTGCTTGTCCGTTCCACATAAACACAGATACACATATTGTGGGCTTCTCTCACTTCGATGCATCC